GAGTGACCCCAGAGAGGGGAAGGAGCACATTGACAAAGGACCTAAGGAAAGGACAGGAATTGTGAAAGTCTTTCCGTATTTGTTGAGGGAAACAGGAAGCACTTCCATGCACCTCATGCTCATGTCCCTCTTTTCAATACAGTGTTCCTTCCACGGGCACGGTGCCTGCAGGTGTTTTTTTGTGCTTGTACAAGCAGGCTACCTGGAAGGAAATGCATGTAGGACAACCAGGGCACTATCTCCCTATGGCAGTACTTTAGCAGTACTATCAGCAGTACTATCAGCAGTATTTTAGAAGGCACAAAATAGTGCATGGGTACCAGAGTGCGGCAAATCAAGGTGTGCAAGTGCCTTTAAACACAGAGGGATGCCGCTGTCTTACTCGTTTATTGAATTCTCATTGACAATTTACTCACTGTCCCTTGCAGCACTGCCTCTTCAGTGACAGCTCAGCTGGATGAGCCCCAGGTCATAAAAGGAAGACAAATTTGCAAGGAAGGAGAAGATCCTGCTTCCTGCAAGTTTGGAAGCCCTTCTAGGTAAGTATAGCTCTAAAGAAAGGAAGAAATCATGAAATGATGTGTGCATCCTCAGCAACCATCCTCTTGGGATTCCATATAGGGAGCAGTGTGGTACGATTATGGAAAGGATGTTATGTTGGATGTTATGTTATGTATGATTATGTTGGATGTTACCCAAAAAGATGGGTAGATGGGTCGGCATTTAAGGCTGCGGGTTACTGACTCCTGGCTTCCCTGGTATGCTCTTCCCTCAAGGAAGGAGGACTCTAAACATGGGCACTAAACATGTGCAGGAGATGTAAGGAATGTGAAGAAACTTAATGTACTTCTCCAGTTAAGTTTACAGCATACAATGCAATGCCATGCAGAGATGACTGAGCTTCCATCAAATCTGGTAGCTCTTTTGCTCAGTGCTCTGTCCTCGCTCATTTACCCGGCTTCTAGGCAGGAACAGGCAAAATCCCTGCTTATTATCAAGGTCAGCTCATTCAGGCCTAGCTCATTTACCTCCGACTTGCCCAGACATACCTTGAAGGCATTTCTTTTTTTAGAAGGCTCGTGATGAGTGAGAATGATGTACACAAGAGAGGAGTGTCTTATCTATTGCACTCGTTCAGCTTTTGTTTTATGCTTTCATATGCAGCCTGTGCTGGCGAAAATGCATCTTAGGAGTGTCTTAGGGTCACTGTAAACGATCACGGCCAACAAAGTGTATAGTGAGGACAGCACCAACGCATCATCGGTTCAAACTGCTTTTGTTGTCTTCCTCCTCCCTGGTTCCTGCTTCTCTCTTTGAGAGGGAGTCAACAGGAAGTGTGACGGTGCCCGGCAGGATGCGTGACGGCCTTCAGCTTCCTGACGAGGCTCCGTTCTTCACAGCACCACAGGTCTCAGGACCTGAAATCTTACGGTACGAGAGTCCATCTCATTGCTTGTAAAATGGCAGTTACATCACGTGCACTATGTACATTTTGCATGGATGGAAGGCTTTTTAGAGAACTGAAAAAAAAAAGAGAAAGGAAGATGCTAAATAATTTTGTGTTTTTTCCCCCATAATAATGGAAGACAGAGCAGGAATGCATTATTTTCTGGCTGAGGTTGAAAAAGAATTGCTGTAAAAAAAAAAAAAAGAAGAGATCAAACAGTTGTTGTAAGCACTAATAAAAAGGAAATGCAGTCAATGATCTTTTCAATGATCTTTTCTTTTTCCCCCAATGAGAAAAATAGTAAAGTGCATTTATTGATAGGCAAACCATTCTAAAGTCAGGACAAAATTATACTTTTTAATACACTTTCAGCACTGCCCTTCATAGCATCACAAAACATTCTCTAACAAATGACATAACCACATGTTTTTCACTCAATATCCCTTCCTCATCCAGATTACAGGTCAGATGACAGAATGGCTCAAGACATAATTTTATCCTCCCTATGCAAGGAGTGAATTCCCACTTCCCCGTTACTTGGATCACTGCCTCTTTATTATTCAGTTGTGCCTCCTTCAGCGTTCCTGGAGAACTCATTCCTCATTTCCAGCACTAGCTCGGTGGTGTGCAGTGAGAGAGGCTTCCACATGCCAAAGAAACTGTGTTTACTTGATGCGCAGAGAACATCTGTTTTTCTGGCCGGGAAGCATTTTACCTAGGAAACAACAGCCAGAATCTCTCACCGGATGGTGATACCTATGGGAGCTGGATGGAGCTCCGCGTTTGCCAGCCTTCCCCCCCGGGCCCTGCGAGGCTCTTGCACAAGCCTGCGGTTCAAAGCACCGTGGTGAATGTTTTCTTGCAACTGTTTAGCATGGCCAAGCCTAGAGCGAGGGCTTTTGACAGACTCTTTGATAGAAAATTGTAAATCATGTAATCAGAAACTTTTTTTTTTTAAAACCCTGTGATTGCTACATTCACAGATACTTAGATACATACACAGATACGTAGGCTTGAAGACAGATACGCTCATTCTGTACGCTGTAGAAAAAAAACTTCTTTAGAAGTCTTCATTTTAGGTGTTTAAAACCTTAGATTGCTGGGAGTAACAAAACAAATCAGGAGATTGGCCAGCCTGATTTTGGAGGCTCCCTTATAAGAGCCTCCAAATCTTATAAATTGATTGCACCTGCAATTGCAAAAGAAATTTTAAAACTACCTCAAAGATAATACAGGTCACTGGAAAAGCTTGCACTGTGGCCGTCACAGTGTCCTAACAAATCCAGAGAACATTCAGTACCTACTATTTTTAATAATATAATGGGAAACTATTTCATGGCTGAGGAATAAGAGCCTTTTCTGTACCTCGGGGGAATAGTTGCGTAATCAAGAATGACTTATCATGTCTAGGCTAGCGCTTAAGCCCGCGATTCCGGCTGAATGAGAAGCTGGAGGAGCCACGTTTCCAGCCAGAGGGCCGTGAACGCACCCAAACCGRGCGCCTTATAAGGAGCTTCTCCCTTCCAGCTTTGTTTCCCGAGCCTTTGGAGAAAGCCGAAGCCAAAGCCTCGGCCAGCCATGGGGCGGCACCGTGCGCGCACACGGGTTGGTATTTCCCACTGAGCTCCCGGCTAAGGCCCATCAGCTCATCCCACAGAGGGATTCTGCTTTTATTCCTTTATTATTGCGCGGTTAACAATAGCYGGCTAGAGAAAGTGCTGTTTGTTACCGAGGCGGAAACTCTGCTCACAGATACATAAGCATTTACGGACCAAACGCTGCCTATACAGGGCTTCTGGCTTCCTGCAATCAGTTCGAGCCTTTTAATGCGGAGTTCTGCTTTATGATGCATGTTTTCCATATATTTCACTACGCCAGATTAACTTTGTTGGGCTTGCCCAAAAGCATGGGGTTTCCCTGAGGTGTGTATACGTTTACTCCGATTTAAGGACATGCAGATGCATCAGAGTCCTGATTCGCTACCTTATTGTGACTATACAGATTAATTTGCCTACTTTTAGTTGCTAAAGAAAGACATTTTTTCCTGTTGGTTGCTTCCTTTTACCAAGAATTTATTCCATATTTTCCTCTACCATTTGTACACCTTAGTGTTTGTTTCTGCACTGAACTCTTCTTTTAAAAGTTTGCATCTYGACCAAAATCATGTGCATCTGCCACCCCTGCTCAGGCCTTTTCTCTCGGTTTTATTTTGTTCCTCTCCCCTTTTTGGCTGGGGCACCCTGACACAGGRGCAAAAAAACCCCARCAATAACAACAACAACAAAAAAACCCAAAACTGAAAGCTGAAGTTGGAAGAGCAGGAGAACCAGTTATTCCTCCATAACGATGACTTCGGTATTTGGACAGTGCACAACAGGAATCCACCCCTTTTTTCCTGAAACCCTGCGAGTTAACAACAGAAATGGGAATCCTGGGGCAGGAAAGCAGTTTCCTGACCACATCCATGCCCATTCACTGCACGGGCAGCAGCCTCCCCTGAGGCAGAAAAACGGGGGAATTTCCCCCCAGAGTWATTTGCAGGCTTGTGGCAAGACCTCAGTTTTGGAATCTGTTCGGGTCAAAAGTTGGAAGGAAAGAGGGAGGAAGGGGGACTTTCCTGACAAAAAAAAAAAAAAAGGGCAAAAAGAAGAGCGCAGGGAGCAGCAAAAGCCGCCGGGCACCGCTGCGGCCGCGGGGACGCAGGGAGGAGGCCGCGCCGGGCCGGGCCGGGCCGGGTCGCCATGGCCGCACCGGGCTGGGCCGGGCCGGGCCGGGCCGGGTCGGGTCGCCATGGCGGCGCAGCGCCAACCGCCGCCGTCTCCACGGCCAACGGCGGGCGGTTCCGCCCGGCCGCGCCGCCCCGGGACACGGGCGCCGCGCGCACGGAGGCAGGTGAGGGCGGGCGGGCACGCGGCGCCGCGGGGCCGTTACTGCCCGCTCGTGACCGTTGGCGACCGTTGGCGGCCGTAGGGCCACGCCCCAACGGCCGTGGGGAGGAGAAAGCCACCTCCGCCCTGGGGGCGCCGAGGCCGTCCTGGCTGCCCCCCCGGCTCGGGAGGAGAGCGGCTGCTCTGGACATGCGGGCGCTTTGGTGGCCCTGGGGGTGTCACGCGGAGGGTCCCACACGAGCCTGCTGCGGGTGGGATGTGGGGYGGCCATGGGGCAGGCGCTTCTGGTGGGTTCTGTTGGGAACTGGGAACACCTGCCGGGAACACGCGACGTCAGGGGTGTTTGTGCTGCATGGAGGGTGTTTGTGCTGGGTAGGGGTGCTTGGCTGAACCCCCGTTCACCTTTTGGGAAAACTCGGCTTTCATTCAGAGCTTGAGGTTATCCTGGGTGTGACCTCTTCTGATCTGGCCTTTCCAGGACTTGAGGTTAAATTTCGCTGTTTCCGTTGAAGTCACTGCGTCTCCTTTTCAAACGCTCCTTTTCATACAGTGCCAGTTTTCCATGGAGGTGCCATTCCAGCGGCCAGGAGCAGTGCCGTGCGCGTGAAGCRAGAGCGGATCTGCCAGCACCAAACTGGGCACCTGGGGTGTCCGCTGGGAATAGCGCTGCGGTGCGGGCCAGTGCGTGGTAGCCGGATGGGCTCTAAACCGCAGGAGTGTTGTGCAATTCTGCAACATCATTTCTGCCTCCTCGGTTAGAAATGACGCATCTCACTATGTGCATTTTCTGCTGCAACTGTAAATGTGCTCCTCTGTTGATGCATTAACACAAAATCCCTGCTAAGGAGGAGGTCTTCTGCTCGAAAGCAGCTTTTGCAGGTTGCTTGTGCTGTGACATGCAGACCTACCCCTGCTCTTTCAATACTCTCGCTGCCTTTCATGCTGTTAATGCCTTTAATGCATGAGCAGGACAAAGACCGGAACGGATCATATATTTCTGTATGGGCATTTAAACTCATGTTAGGAGGCATAAATAGYATGTTTAGCTCTGCAAAGAAGAAAGAGGGAGGATGTTAATTCTTTTGGTGCAGTCCTGTTATTATTTTATCCCATTTTTTTGCTTTTCCCATAGGAAGCTGTTTGATGACAATAGCTAGCAGCTGGCCTGTTAGTGATTCATAAATGCCCCTTGTTCATTCATCTTCTTTATTAAAAGAAGAAATAAGGAAATGGCAAAACACTCGGCCAGTATTTGCAACCTTGCTTCCCCTGGCATTTTGTTTTCTTCTATGTTGTGTCTTATTCACAGTTGGACTTTTTACCACATGCATATACATATATACATGCATAATTCGTTTCCTTTGTAAATCATTTCGTAGGCTTACAGTGTTATGAATCTGTTCACAGAATCTCAGATACTCCCAGGTTTAGTCATAAATTGGGTTGTAGCAGAGATAAGGTATAATGCAAAGCAGTAATAGAATGTATTACAGCAGCCTGGCAATAAGCTGAAGTATCATGCCCATCTTTGTATCATATCTGTGTGGAAACTACCACACTGGAGATATTTTACAATAATTTTAGAGGGGATGAAGGGAAACTATTCTGATAGTTCCTTGTGTTCCCATTTCAGAATATGAGGGGGATCTCGGTTGCATCTGACTTTACACTCTATTGACACGAAAAGTAGCTATCCTTTTTAATCTGTAACACTAATAGCCATGGGAATATCTTGGCTTTAACCTTCTTATTGCCAAAGCCTGTTACTCTCCTCTTCATACTGTCCAGTGTACTAAATTATTATTCTTATCCAGGTTTTTAAGAAGAAAACAAGAGTTTCAAATCAAGACGTACATCATGACTGGCAATCCATGTAAGAGACTTGCCTGGAGTGACTGTGAGTATTTCAGGACTGTCTTAACACAGATTCCATGTTTTCTGGATCATTTACATTTTGGGTTGCTGAACTGCGCACTACGAGCTGTGTACAAGCCACTCTGCAGCAGTGCTGTCTCACCTGTGCTGTGTATGGGGTGCTCTGATGGCTTCTCTTGMTTTCCTGAGGAGGAAACTGGGAATGACTGTTCAAGTCTCTGTAAGCACTACCTGCCTATGTGCAGTGCCTGAGCAGCTGCCTACCTTTGTGTCTCTTCAGAGTGAACATTTGCCACTGCTGCTTTTGCATTAGGAGGAGGAGGGCTGCTAACATGCCTTCCTCCACAGGCCTGCCACAGTCCCTGCTCGTGGAACTGATGGCTGTGAAAGAGCTGGTGCCAGTCGGTCCCACACAGAAAGCTGCTGTCACACTGAAAGATGATTTTTGAAGGCATAGTCTCATTTCCTTTATGCATTATTAACTGAGGAACATTTTATCTCATGAACTTTTGTAACCAGGTCAGTCATCATAATCTTTCATCTTGGCAGAGAGGTCTGATCATATTCCTTACCAGACTGAAAGTTATTTTGTAGGCATTAAAGTTAGAAGTGCCCTTCTTTGAATTAGGGACCAGTTGGATCCATGCAGTGCATTTGCAGCTCCAACAGCTTGCACTGTGTGGGGCAGTGGGAGATTGGATACTCATGCTAATGTTGATACTGGAGAAAATGTGCAGAAACATCAACCATATCCACAGATAATCAGCTTAGGCACAGCAATGGTGAGATATTTTTTGACAAGAAACTGAAGGTGCATGTATATAGATCTAAAAAAGGAATAAGAGCACGTAGATGTGTCTGATAGCAACTTTCTGGATTGAGAACATTATTCAGTATAATAAAAGAAATTGGGAAGTAAGGTGTATGTATACAGAGTGCCATGGAAGGGAAGTAGAGAAAGGAGAGAATTCAAATGTATCTGTTGTAAAAGTGTAAATGGTATTTTTCCCTCCTTTCTCTTTAAAACAGATGCCTTTGATTCACAGCACAGACAAGATCATGAGAGCTCAAGTTCTCATGAGGACCACAAGAAGAAATCAAAAGAAAAGGAAGGGAGGCTGGCAGTCTGTCAGGGGGGCTTGGATGTACAGCTCCTCATTTCGTCTTCTAAGTGGCTTCAACTTTATGGGCTCAAGAGAAATAAATTGTCCCTTTCCCAGATTTTGTCACAAATTGGATTCCAGCACAGGGAAGGTATAAGACAAGCTAACAATGTAGTAGTAGTAGTAGTAGTAGTAATAATAATAATAATAATAATAATAAATAAATAGGCTGTAGTGTGGTGCTCATTTTACACTGCAGTTTACTCTGAAGAGATTTTCAGATCATCTGTTATTATACAATAATGACAGAAAGGGAAGCCATGCTCCCACTTTCTGACATTGCCAGAACTGAGGCATGTTGAAAGGACTGAAGATCTTCATTTCCTATTGATCTCAGAAAGATGCTTTCAGTAATGAACTGTATTGCTTCTTTACCCTACACCTCATTTAGATTCTGTACTATTTAGCTACAGGTGGAAAATAACCTGTGGTTATGAGGCTGTTAATCATTTTTTGCCTGAAAATAATACATCATGAGATCCTGTCTGTTTTTTTAGGAGGCAGTATGTGGAGTACACTATGCTATAATCTGTGATCTACTGGTTTACTATCTGTTATCATTACCAGGTATCTGTTTTTTAAGCCAGCAGTTCAATTTGATTTGCATTTAGGCTAATGTTCTTGCAAAGTCGGGCTGTACTTTGTGCTTTCAGGTTATCTGTCAGCCGGAGAGGAAGAGTTTGCTAATAATTATTAATCACTTCTATAATAGTGCTTTGCAGATGATGGTAAGATAGTCTCTTCTTTGGAGAGTTTACAGCCTGATAAGTAAAAGTTGTAATAATTTGTGATTGTTCCAGCTTGTGTAAGGCTGGCTTGTGGCCACGGGGCCAGCAGTAGAGATCCTGAAATCCTCTGTGCTGTAGGGCAAGAAGAAGCTGGTTCATGTTGTTACAGAGCAGATTTAAGAACAAAAAGTACTGGCTTTACAGGCAGCATGCTGAATAGAATAGCAGCTTTATGACGTTAAATATTCCCACCCCTAACATTTTCCTATCAGTGGAGCTACTGCAGGAGTTTTCCAGCTACCGAAAGAGCACAGTGCAACCTTTTCCTTAGTTGCACCCACTTCAGCGCCCATTTAGTTGTGTAAGAGAACAGCATTATCTGTTCCAGATTTTGTATTCTGTTTGATGGACAAATATTTGCACGTCCTTTGGAGAGGTAAATGCATATTATGGAAGTTTTATTGCCCAAACCTTTCACTTGTCTTTTTGCTCRTAAACAACTCAATGTACCTTTTTCCCCACTTTCGATGGGGCTTTCAGGGAGCAGCAAGAGTCGGGTGCCCAAGGGGATGACAGCACTGGCACTGTCCCCAGTGACCAGCATCCAGCCCTGCAGCATCTGAGCACGGCAGGCGCAGTAGGGAGCTGGTAGCAGGGACAGCTGACAGTCCCAAGTGAGGTAAAGAGATGAACCAGCTCGAGCCAGGGTCCACCCTGGAAGTCTASTCAGGAGTGGCAGGAGATAGAGCCAGAGACAAGACTGGAGACAACAGAGGYCCAAGAGACCCATCCAGGAGACTGAACTGGAGAAGGGTCTGTCCTGGAGAGCGGCCAGAGGAAGGACTTGGGGCACATGTACATAAAATGCTCCCAAAGCAGAGACTGGCATCCAGGCCACCCTAGGAGTAGAAGCTGGCCAGGGCAATCAAGGCCTGTTGGTGACCTCAGGGCCCTTATATAAACAAAACTGGGGGGGGGGAAAAAAAAGTGTGATTAAAATTTCTTTCTAGCTTCATAACATCAGGAGTACAGCACAGATACAGCTGCCTCACATGTGGATGGTATGCATGCCAAGCTGGAAAGTGTCTGTTTGAAGGATACATTTATCTTGCAATGCTCACTATTAAGGGAAAAGCTCCTCCTCATTCAAAGCCCAGTGTATCCAAAGAATCCTCCTCCGTTCCCCTGAAAAGGATTTACTGTGTTTTGGTTTTAGAGTTCTCTGAAAATATACTGTGATTTATTGAAAACAAAGTACATGCCAATTGGATCAGGATTTTGTTGTTGCGTATGTTCTAGACGAGCACATTGTGAAAGTGATCCTTATGATCAGCACCTTGATCTCTTGCAACCTTTCCTRTAGATTATGTGAGCAGCTTGGGGAGACCAGTGGCTTCTCGGTATGCGGCTGGCCTCTTTCCTCAGTACATGAGAGCACAAGACGGCAGCGTGTACAATGTAAGTGCCATGAGCTTGTGCTGACTTTCCTGTGCACTTAGGAGTTACTGCAGCAGAATGATATGTCTGTAATACAGTCTCCCATGACAGGAAATGCTCGTATCTTTTGTGTAAGAACTTTATCTTTTGGCATTCTTCTGTTTTGCCAGTCTGTTAGTGACAAGGATCAAGTGGTATATGAGCTAGATAGCATTTTTTCTCTCTTTTTTTTTTTTTTTTTTTTTTTCTGGTGCAGTCTTTTACTGTTGCCGTGGTGCAGCATTGCAGTGAGGCTTTCCAGAAAAGGCTGCAGTTTCCAAGCAACATTTACCCTTTCTTGAAAGAGGAAACACTTAAAAAGAAGATGCTCAGCTGAGTTAAGAAAATTGTAGATGCTGAAATGAGGAGACATAACATGGCATCATTCCCCATGCAGAGCTCCTCATTGCTAAGTGCCAGTGGGTCACAAAAGGCTCCGCATGGTCTACAGAGACAGCTAGTTGGATCCCTGCCCAGACTCAAGTTCTGAGGAATGTCTCCAGAGCAGCTGCTGCCTGTCCCGTTACTGGGAGGGTGGCTTCTGATTGAAGAGATATGCACGTGAGCTAGCAGCAGAGAGGGTTAATTCAGAAAAGATTTTACAGAAAACAAGAGCTTGTCATTTTTCTTCTAGCTAGTATCACTTCTGAGGCACAAGGTGTGGAAATGGGAAAAAAAGGTGTCAGGGCCTTATTCCCTCTTTTCTTGCCACTAATTCTGTATGCAATAGCTACATAATGTCTTTTGATCTTAGGAAGTGTTGGGGGCAGGGAGAAAAAAATTGACTGTAGCCCTAAGGTGCCTCTCTGCAAGACCTGTGAGGCCTCTTGTAGAACATTGTGTACAGTTATCCCTGGTTATCCCAGGTTCAGAAGAAGCAATTCAAAGTGGAGCAGCTACTGGGGAAAGCTGTAGGGTGAACAACAGCGGTGTTGGGAGGGCTCAGTTGATGCTGATGCATTTTGTTTAGCCCAAAGAAAACCTAAAAAGGGTGTTACTGCCCTTGAATGACTACAGAAAGGCAAATTGCAGGGACAGAGAAGGGCTGTAGTCTGCTATGCTACAAAGCATACTAGTCCAAATATAATTGGGTATGAGCTGCCACGAATAAATTTAGCCCGAGCAGTCGGAAGTTTTCCAGCCCTTTGAGAAATGGGAATCTGGATTCATCTACAAGGAAGGAGGGGCAAGAAAACTGCTTTATTTTAAGATGGAGTTTGAGCACTGTAATGCAACGAGCTGCTTGTATGAGGCTGGCTGTGATCGGAGGGGCAGGGACTTTGTGAGCCCTCCTTCCCAGGCATCCAGTCCTTTGGCAGGCAGCCGGACACTGTGCGCTTGGGAGGTGCTTTGCAGGACCGCAGCTGATGTTAAGGGACAAGGGAAAATTTGAAAACTTCTATATTCAAAGTTTTCTACTCACACATAGGAAACTGTTAAGAGGCACAAAGTAGCAGATAAATTAACTTACAGGGATTAGAGATACGAGGGAAGTGTTTTAAGTGAATAAGTAGACATTCTTTACAAATCTATATAGAAGATACAAAAATGCTTCAAGTAGAACATAGAGTGAATTTGTAAACCCACATTTTGCATGGTGAATGTGTGTACTTATATACATAGTCTTCTATTTTTTCATTTTTTGAATCTAAATATTGCTTAATTTGCTGATAGGACATAGGAGGCTTTGGTTGTTGATTGCTTTTGTCTAAACTAAATTTGCAGAGGGGCCTACTAGAAATGCTCTAATGGTGGGGATCGTTAGTGAAATAAAAGCTCAAATAGGAAGCATTTTGCATTTCCTTTCAAAAGCTGAAGACAAGATTGAAGTGCCCCCAGAACCCAACTGTACGCTCCTTTGTGTGGCTGCACACACTTTTAAGAGCCACAAAAAAATCTAGTCTAATACGTTTCTCTGTTCCTCTGTGTGCCCATCCATCTGTTCTGCAGCCCTTTCTCCATCCTAACCCCTGTTTAGCTCACTATAATTGCTGCAGTCTTGAGACAGACAAGTAATGCAACCCCTTGGCACTGCCCCATGCTTGTTTAAAAAGATGATGAAAAGCAATTAGGACAGAATAGTGTCTTTTATGCTGTAGCTTGGATGCGTTTGTCAAGTATTTGCTCATGAAATAGTGGAATTAAAATGGGTTGTTTTCACTGCTACCTTGGCTGGTACATTTGGCACTGAGAAGGCAGCTATTGCAGCTGTGCTAAGCTTGGGGCTCCATTTGTGTTGTTTGTTTTGATGCTCAATATCTTTCTCTCCTGTATTTAAATGAAGCTGACAGCCAAAAAAGACCTGATTCTTCATTTTGTGGCTTGTCTCATGAGAGCTATTGAGCTCTACAAGCAGCGAATGGACTGGCTCACCAGCGCGAGCCGGCAGATATTTGGCGTCATTCAAGAGCAGTGCGTGGTCATCGTGCTGGATTTTGGCACCGCGTGCCCCGCTGAATTTGATCTCTGCTGTGATGCGCTTTCCATGGTCCTCACGGAACAGGTGACCCAAATTGCCAAATTTAACCTCATTCGGTAAGCAGAAAGAAGTCTGTGTCTGCCCGCTGTTGGGCAGAGAATTAAAATAAAAAAAAAAAAGTCTCCTGTCATATAGATGTGTGTTTAGATAATATTCTTTCTGTAGTAGAAATCATTAATCATTTGCGTCTTGGTAAAACCTATAGATTTTCTGCCAAGTTTTGCCCACAGTAATGCTGAGCTTAGTACTTCCATTTAAAGGAAGAGTATTCTTACCAGATTGAGGAAAAGGGAAACACTAATAGAAAACAACTATTGATATGTGCCTTTTATGACTCTACTACAGAAAAACAGAAAGATAAGTTGTGTGCAAATTAGCCTGTATGGTTTTGAAAGCCATCAAAGATAGCTACAGGCATTTAGAATCCCAGTTTAGCAACTGAGATCATACAGGTTTAATTCTAGAGTCTTTTCTTAATTTCCTAGCTTGCGATGCAGCTGAGATTTGAACGGTAGCACAACTTTTGAGAGGCACGTGGAACCATTTATTTAAAGATGGTTCACAAAGCTAGCTCAAAATCTAGGCACTGTAACCTAGGAAGTGTTTGCCAACTTCATCATTGGTGAATTGGAAGCAGGAGGGCAAGGGGCAGTGTAGCACACAATATTACCTTGAAGAATCTCTGAAGTCCTACTGGTCTTTTATGTTTCCAAGAAACTCTTCAGAATAAAACTTGAAGGAATGCCATGGATGCTGGAAGCAGTTATTTTTTAATTTGATTTCTTTTTTTAGTGCATGCTCAGCACATTGTATATTTTGCACTTCTGTGATGTCATTAAGATAAAGGCTTTTGATCAACCAAAATATCAAAAAACTTAGTGTCAGAGATCTTATTTTCATAGACAAAGATCAACTGTTTTACAAAAAGCACGTATAAGATAAAATGATCTGACACAAAGGCCATGTGACAAATTGTGAAGAGAGGCCTGTAGAAACCAGAATGTAGAAACCAAATGTTTTTTTTTATACATATTTTAAAAACTTGACTGTTCCTTCTCCCAACTTTTTAAAGAAAAAATTCCTGCTGAAACAACATAGGAGCCAGGCCGTATCCTTCTGCTAGAGTACTGTATTATCGTATCTGTGTTACCAGTACACTTTACTTTGTAAAGTACTTCAGCCATCAACAGTGTAATCTTTTTCGCATAAAAAAATTATACAAAAATTTCGGAGGGTTTTTATTTTGCCTCTACTTCTCTTAATGTAGATTTAATAGGCATGCTTTATTATTATTGTAATTAAAAACCTAACAAAACAGTAACCACAGTAGAGATGTGCTTTAGTGCCCGTGTTATTCCAGCCCCCTCTGACTGAGAGCTGCTGTCCCTTCCAGGGCGGCCCGGGACCTCGTGAGGTGGCGCGAGCAGCCGGCGGCCGTGTGCGAGCAGGCGGTGAGCTCCGCTCTGGGGTGGCTCCGGACGCTGGCGCGCGGCGCCGCCGCCGGCCCCGGCAGCTCCGCCGAGGCGCTGCTGGAAGCCATGGGCCACGAGACGGTGAGTGCCCCGGGGCCCTCAGAGGCCTCAAGGCAGCCCAAGAATATCCCCTTGCCACGCTGGCCGCCACCGTTTGCTGTGATGGATTTGGAAAGGATAAATATTAATGGGAGGCTTTGGGAGGATTTTTTTTTCCGATATAGCTCCATGCTCTGTTTACTGATAGCCTGTTTATGTAAATGGATTGTATTTGGAAAGCAGAAGCTCGTTTGTTTTCTTTTCATGGGTGCACAGAATAAATAACATATTCATTAAGGGAAAGGGAAAATATCTTGCCTTCCACTGTCTTTACCATATAGGCTTTTAAGGGTCTCAAGCTTATGAAAGTATTATTCATATCAAAATTACTGGAGACAGTGAAATCATTTTTACTTTGTAACATGTCTAAAGTACTCATAGAAAATTTTACTTGAAATCCAAAATAGCATCTACAGAATTTTACTGAAGGATTAGCTGATTGCAGGGCCTAACAATTTTTTTTTCRTCATTCCCATTATAGACAAAGTTCTTCCAGGACAATAGCACAAAACATGCCCTAGTATTGTAGCAATTAAATACCATCTATTCCTAAAAGTCCCGTATTACATTATTCATTTTAGCAGATCCACAAGACATAAGAAAACCAATGCTGTTCTTTGAGCTAGTCACTTAGAACGTGTGTCATGAAAGAGGCATTGGACAAATTTTGCTTGCAATGTAAATTGATTCAGCTCCCTGGCACATGAATTTCATGGAAAACTGGGCCCATTGTGTGTGCACTGGAATCATTAGTTTTTACTGCCATAAAGATCAGCCCTCTGCACAGATCCAATCCTAACTTCCTTGGTCTGAGACTGTTTGAAGGAGAAAGTAAATTGGGTTTTAGTTCCTTTCTGGCTCCCTGTATTGGTGAGTTCTTAATTGGATGAGCCTTGCTGTTTGAAAAGGAAGGGAATGAGGAGCAAATTGTGCAAGAGTGACATATTTTATGACTGCTTTTTTAGATGCCTCTTTCACAAAATTCCATTAACATTTTCACTTCACAATATGTTACCCATTTCCTGATGGGAAGCAGAAAAAGATCATATTTAGATTTCAGTATTGTCTGGGTGAAAAAAAAGGCGTGTTGAACCTGCCAAGTCAGAGCATGAATAAACAGAAATTAAAATCCTGCTGACAGCGAAACACCTATTATTCTTTTCTGGACATTGGTGGGCTAGTGGGTAAGCTGAGAAAGTCAGTTTTGGCAGGTAGTCAATATAAAGCAGACTTTAATTACTCCTAAGTGCAGTCATTATCCTTCATGGCTGCCAGTTCAGCTGCAGCGCAAGCCCCGCGCGGGTGCCGCCCGTGGAGCCCTCACGCAGCCCCGGCCCTCACCCAGCAGTCAGCAGTGACTCACTCCTTGCAGCTCGCTTCCTCAACAGAAACTGCTSCAAAACAATAGCTCCCTTTTTCCCCTGGACTTGGCTCTCCCTGCCATTCCTTTAGCAGAGCTGTTCTTCCCCTGTGTGGCTACTCTCGTGATTTCCCTTCTTCACGACTGGCCGTCCCAAGCTCAAGCTCACTGTGCCGTAAAGTTGCGACCCTTTGGGCTGCACCTGCCACAGCCGCCCCTGTGTTTAACTTGCAGTTCATGCAGGTGTCTCACACCACTGCTGCAAGCTGCCGAMGGGTCACTCATCCAAAGTGCACCTTTCCAGCAAGGCAGAGGCTGTGAGGAACTGCTGCTCTCTGTCATGGCCTTTTAGGAAGTCTGCTTGCTGGTTAGATGCCTGTGTAAATGATTGTTTTCAGGATGTGAAGGGCTGCCCACAAAGGTTTGAACCTTTCCCCAGTGGTCTGTCCACTGTCAATGCAGTGGTCTGCATTTCCTCCATGGCACGTTACTGCTGGGTTTGTAGTGGAGGACACTGTGCTAAGCAGTTCTGCTTATTTGCTTGTCAGGAGTTAGTTCTTTGTCAGCTAAGCCCCCAAAACACGAACATTTTAAAAAGCTGCAGGGACAGGCAGCAAATTCCTTGGAAGAAGTATAAAATGGATATCCTAATTAATTACCAAGCTTATGAATTATTGGCGGTCGTGGGAAGGAGGAGAACATGGGAATCAGGAGGTGTGCAGAGAAGAGTGGTTGTGCAACACGTGTGTGTGTCCCCAGGCCAGAGGCTCTGCAGCCAAAGGAATTTCCCGAGCAAGGGTGTAGTCTCAGGAGTGGCTCCCAGCCGGGAGAGCTGCGCGCTTGCTCCCAAAGCCTTTTAGCAGGGTGAAACAGAGGGGGCAGCTTTTAGAACTGAAGCAGAGAGAGCTGCAAGCATCGCTTCCTTTTGTTTCTGTGAAGTTAGCATTCTGTTAATTCTGCAATTTAACGAAATACATTTGTTTGTTTATCTTATTAATGTTAGTATGAGAAGGAGTATTACCATGACGATTGTCAGTATGGGTATGTGGAGGCAACCTCACAGCTATTGCAGTGTAACACACAGGCAGTAACTAGAAGACATTTCTTCGATTTCTCACTTTTCTTGCAGCAATGTTTTCATAATGCAGGTGTGATGATAACAAACATGCCAAGCTCCCTCTGCCTTAGGAAGAATAAAGAATATGAATCTCTATATATCTACAATAGAATTTAAAGAATGTTGCATCTTTCCTAACTCTGAAAATATGTGCTGCCAGCTAATCTCATTTTGGAATAAAAGTTCTTTMTGATTTTTAATCCTGGCAAGGCACYGGCAGAGCATCTCTCTTCTTAAAAGCAGAATGCAGCAGAACACCTCATTGTAACTAATAATAAAGGTGTCATCTCTTATACCTGTCTTGGTTTTTTCTCTTAACTTGCAGAAGGTAATGGGTTTGTGTTGGACAGAATCAGACCCAGGGGATGTGAACCAGATTCACTTCTCATTTCGGAAAGTGTGATGCATATTATACTTTGAGTAACTAGGTTAAATGAGAGGGAGAACCAACTATGTGCAAGTCTTACAGTCCAGGTAATGTATCAGTTCAATCAAATTTTCATCCAAGTAAAGGATGCAGCAAAGGACAGAGTTTGAATAAGTGACAGAGATCACAGCCAAACAGCCAGACTTTTTTTTTTTTTTTTTTTTTTTTTTTTCTGTTTAATGGCAGGTTGAAGCTGTTTATTTATTTGCTGTGGGTGATGTTCCTGAAGACACAAGGCAGCTGCTTCGGCAGAAGGTTTGTGATGGCCCCTGTCCTGTCAACACTGTATCTTTCAATGCCAGGGAAGATGGAACTGTTATTTTCCTGAAGGAGTTGAGCCGCTTGACTTCTGGCAGGTATGACAAAAAGAAGCAATAATAATTTCAGTATTTGTAAAGTGTTTTTCTTATATGAATAGTATCTCAAGATACGTGGATTATCCCCAATTTTACTGATGGAGAAAATGAGACTATTTAGTATTTACTCAGTTAAGTGGTCTGGGAAAATAGAGGAAATCACCTAAAGATCTATCAGTAAAATGCAGGGCCTACTTGAGCAGACAAAGCTTCCCTTTAGATGGATGTTCCCTGACTTCCAAATAGGCCATTCYTTATTTATATCCTAAATTGCTGTTCTTCTTCTGCACCTCTTCTGGATACTGAAAAATTATTCAGGGGAAAGAGTCACAACAAGAACTGAAGCAACTTTTTTGTTTTCATTTCTATTTTGGTAAAATCTGCAGCAAATGATGATGGTTTTGTTGGATCAAGTGAGATATAGACACCTGTTGAAAAAGTAATACCTGTCATGGGCATTTCCGTGAATAACAAAATATTGAGGTAGTATTATCCATTAGACCTGGAGATGKGAAGCTGCAGTTCTGTTCCATGCTCTCCAGGGTTTATTTTGGTGCGGTTGGCAGAAGTTGAAATGTTTCCCATGCCTTGTTGGCTGCCTCATCCTGGGAACCAGCCATGTGAATCTAGAATCAACCCTCAGTAGACAGAGATAATATGACTTTAATCTTAATGCTAATAACAAAATAATAATAATAAAAAAAAGACAAAAGAAACGATACCAAGCTCATGCAGAAGWGCAGGAGGGTAGTAGGAATCAGTAGGTGTTTGTTGTAACAGAAGTCACTCTAAGTCACCGAGCTGGGAAATAGCTGCCAGTTCTTTCTGCTTTGCTGTTAGTTGTGCAGGAGTGGGAAGACCTCCAACAGTAGAAGTGTCCCAAATGGCAGCAGAGCAGTTGGTAAGATGGCAGCTGCTTAGCTCTTTTATAGCCATCTGTGTTTAGAAGTAGCTTTTAAGTGATGGAGTGTCTGCCAAAAGCAATGTGGTGGGAAAGCATTATGTTTGCTGAGGTCTGACGTGTGCCTAAATGACTGTGCTCATTTAGAACTGCGGTACCTCCGTGATACCAGGTGCACTGCTGCTCACCATCATTCATTTCCTTTTGGYAGTGTTTTATTTTCCACTTTTATATATATAAAAAAAAAGTGAATGCCTCTTATATGGTAGAGAAAGAGGCAAGAGGGATGTGGCAGGGATCTGAGAACTGCTTCATCTCATATGATTCCCACTGAGTTTTCAGTAACTTAGCATGAGTCTAGCTTCTATAGAGACTTAGAAGGCCTACAGATATCTTGCTGGTGGGTATTTGCCAATAATTTTATGKAAGTTTAAGCCAACTTCACCATAGGAATGGCCAAAGTTCATGGACTCTTCATAGTTTGAATCTGATTCTTTTTTTTATCTAAGAGTTTATTATTTTTTGACAATGAGGGTAAATGTCTGTTTAAATTCCTGCCTTACATGCTAATAATAAAATAAATATTTATTTGGGGCCTTGAACTAGAAGGATGAGCTGATTCAAAGGTGTTAGAGAAATAACATGCTTGCTCTGTATGCAACAAGTGTTAATTAAAACTGATTTCCAGCAGACTGTAAAAGCAGGTGCCTCAGAGCAAACAGTACCAAAATCAAAGGATGTTCTTCTTAAAAAACAAAAAAAGACTCCAGAATATGTATAATATTTCACATTATTGATAATGTTGTTGGAGTTGAAGGCTTGGGTATCTTGAATAGCTAAGAAAATAATTCCAAAGTTGTACACCACAGTGAACTTAATATACGCGTGACATATATCTATAAAAATTACGGAAGTATTTACATAGTTTACATATTGGTGAAACACTATTTTGTATTACAGATTCCATGCTTTTGTTGAGAGGATTGACTATATGGATACTACTGGACCCACACTAAAATGTGAAGAGGATGGAAACAATTCGATTGCCCAGAATACCAGAAAAGTGAAAGGGCGGATACCTCTAGGTAGACAATATAAAAAACAAAACAAAACAAAAATCCCAAGTTACACTGATTATCTCAATAAGGTTTCAAAATAACAATGTAATATAGGAACTTGCCAAATGTAGGCTCATAAGAAGCCGTCTGTCAGCACGGGTGGAACAGGGACAGGGCTGGTCAGAGGGAAATTCCGTGGGTGGGAAGGAGAGGGAAAGGAAAAGAGAAGTGAAGAGAGCAAAGGATGTGCTTGTGAGAGAGAATGAAAGGGAAATGAAAGAAAAGGAGAAGAAGCAACAACATTTATTTGTTTATTTAATAAGATATGCATTAGTACTGGGGTGATTACAGCAGTGACCTGGTGGAAATGTAAAGAGAAGTGGCAGAAATGAAGAGGAGAGAAAGATAGGACAGCCACACTGATAAAGGGCAATTCATACCTGGTGTGGGGGTATTAAAACCACGTGAATTAGACTTGCTTCTCTAAAGATCTGAATTTATCATAAAGACAGGCAAAAGGATTTTTAAAGCACAGTAAAAAGAACCAGAGAAAAGAGGGAGCAAAGAGGTTAAAAAGAGGAAGCAAATAGCAGCCGAACYCCTGTCTTAATGGGGGTGGGGCTGGGTCAAAAGCTCTCAATGTGGTTCTCATTAGTCATAGTGCTACATTTTCTGTGATAAATCAGCCTTAGTGGATCCAGGCTTTCAGGAGGAGAGAGAGCAGCTTGTGCTGTGAAATGAGGCTGCATATATAGGCAAGACATTCAATTAAAAGAAATGGTATATTTTGAACAGCAGGAAGCGTAAGACCTCTTCACTGTCATGGTTCATATCCCTGTTAGACTGGAGTACTCCACGTGAGCATTGCCCAAAGGCAGAACAGTGTTCTCCTCTTCTAACTGCTGGGGATCCTGTGGCATAAGGTGGATTTTGTGACTCCCCTAAATTCGTATGGCAGGCTGTGCCTAACTGGCCTCTATTTCCCAGATTGTAGACCAGTTCCCTGTGAACTAAGCTCTCTTTCACCTGTGCACTAAGACCACCATGATTATAACGGTACCAGAGAACCATTCTGGGGGCCAGAAATCAGAGGACAAAGTCTCACCTGTTTGTTTGCATCATGAAAGGACACCCAAGCCTGGCTTGCACAGATTTTAAAACAGAGTGTGATTGAGAACTGTGTCTCTCATTTCATGCTCATTCAAAGCACTGTAATTATCGCCTGCAGTCTGCTCTGAGTGCTTCCTGGCTGGACCCCATTTCAGGGGGAGGACTTTCCTCTCCCCTCAGGCAGCCAGCCTGTTTCAATGGACAGGCCCAGCGCTCCTGTATGACCGAAATTACTTCCTCACCACTGTTCCTAAAGCTGAATGCTGAGTAGCTTTAATCACTCAAAAGGGCAGTAATCTCCTTGAAATGCATTGTCTGCTGCGTCTTATTGCTATTATGGAGTAGAATTTACACATTGAAAAGGAGCACAATTAGCTGTCTGCACTTAGCGGGTAGCGAAGCGGCAGCTCTGACATCACTGCCGGCCAATGGGGACCTGCCAGTCGGGAACAGAAAAACCTCTATGTTTTGGAGAAGTCGGGAAAAGAAAATACTCGGGAGACATTATTCTGGTGTGTGCCTGATGCCTCGTGGTTCCGAGGCTCCTTGGAGGAGCAGAAGGCAACGTTAATAATGAAAGCGTCGCTTACCTGCTAATACGCTCTGAAACTGGTTCTTGGGTGTGTGGCGTAAGCTATAGAAGGAAATAAGTGGAAAATGAGCCATATATTTAATCTTCCAAATGGGGCATTGCTTGGAATTTGAGGGGAGGCACACGGACATTTTGCTCCTCTTTCTTCTTGCTTCACAGAAGGAAATTCAAACTCATCATTGTGTTTTATGGACTGAAGAAGCCATTTTAAGACTGTCAGGTAGTTTTCAGAGTATTTACTGAATAAGATCATTTTACAAATACAGGGTATCTTCATGCTTTCTCTTCTTCATATACTTAACCAAAACAAGTCAGAGGCGAGCTATTTAAAATTTCAGATGAGCTTAATTCTGCCCTGTTTTGCATCCTGAGCAGTCATTTAGAAAGCAAATGTGAGAAGCTGCCAAATTTGAATTTTTTTTAGCACTCAGTGTGAATGGATGCTCAAGTTCAAAACAGGTGTAAGCCAATACAGAATTAGGGTCCTTATGTTGGCAGGCTCAGATCTGCTTAAGGCAGAAGAAATGYTCCTATATGAAGCCTAATTTGGACTAATGTGGTAATATCTCCTTATCCTTTCAGTGCTGATTTTCCTATTATCACTTCTGCCTACATCCTTTGTGTAGCTTCTTCATCTGCAAGCAGGTGCAAATTAAGCAATTCTGTCGCATAGTTAAAATTTCAAATGGAAGGGGAAACAGAGACAGAACTTACAGGAGGAAGATGTGWTTTAGGCTGGAACTTGAAAACGTAGGGGGCAAGAGATGGTGGAGCTGTGCAGGAGGTTCTTCCTGGGAAGTGCATGGTGGTGCTATCATCTCGGAGTGGCGGAGAGACAAGGGTTGGAATAGGGATCGTCATAATGAGCTAGATCCTGTAACGAATAGTAGCAGCTCCTCCTTGGCCGAAACAGCTGTAAATCTCTGGGCAGTGTTCTGTATTTCTCCGTGTGATGGAATAGATGAGTTGACATGGGTGAAGAAAACGCTAGGATTGAAACCAGGAATTCCTGATGTGAGAAGTCTGAGGAGGGATAGATCTCACTATGGACAATGCCCTGGAATAGCGAACTATTGTGCTTTTATGCCTGACTGGCTTGCAGTGTTGGCTGAACTCCTTGGTCTGCCTGATTGTCCATACTTACCTGATGGCCACAGGGAGAATTTTCGCTGGGTTATATGGGTTATTTCCTACATATAATAGGAAGCATGAAAATGCCACCCTCGTGTATAGCACTGAGGTAAGTGGTATTTGCACTGACACAGGGAAGGGAGAACCCATCCTCCAGAGAACTGGGGTATCTTGACAGTGGCTCCTTTGCTTACAAACCATAGSAAAAATCATTGTTTCTGCTTTTGCCCCATACACGCTCTGGCTTAGCAGCCTAACCTTGGCCTGGCAAGTCTCTGTGCTGATGTGCAGAGCACGGTGCTTGCAGCCAGCTGCTCTCATCACCACATGGGGTGCAAAGTCCACCGGCTCCGTCCCTTTGCACGGTGCAGAGGGGGCAGGATCTGCCTGGGACAGATTTCTCCACTTGACCTGGTAGGTACAAGCTGCAGCTGATCCTCCTCTACCTTCCCAGGGTGGTTTTATAAAAGCAGYACGTATGGGAAGGCTGCTGTGTTTTGCTGCCCCGCAGAGGCMCAGGGAGGGACCAGCAGTGGGGAAATGAAATGGCCACTCATAACTGACAAAGAAATCAAGATTAAAATATATATTCTTCCATTACATGTGGATTCACTTGCGTAGTCCAAGCTAGATACTCAGAGAAGGAAGAAATACTTCTGTTTTGCATAGTTTGCGCTTTTGCTGGTATTTGCTTGATTTTCAAAGAGACTGTAGATTTTGTAAGCTTTGTTGTATGTGTGTGTGTATATGGCTTTTCTTCTAGGCAGTTATTATTTCTTGCATATGAAATGAGAATGGGTTACAACCACTTGTCAGACTGGCTGAGGCAGGTAGACACGGGGGAAAAAAATCCTTTAAAACTGCCTGCCAGGGTGAAATAACTGGGAGATKAAGGTGGGGGTGGTTGTTAGTTTCCATGTATATGTGCAAACGTGTGTGTCTCTGCTCGGCCGCGTTGCTTTGCTTCGCGCTTAGCAGGTGTCAGCAAAGCGCCCCTGTCCCCAAATCCCCCTTGCACCCTTCCCTGTCCTCTCACTCTATTTCAGGGACCTGGTTCCCTGGGGACAGACACACCATCCCAGTGAGGACAGGGCCTCCCCATGCCGTGTGAGCACCCGCTGTCATGGCGCTGTGATTTTCAGCGGCCAAATTTTGGGTTGCTCAGACTTGTCACGGCCTGACGGGGAGCAGGGCAGGAGTGAAAAATTCCCTTTCCTGTGAAAACAATGGGAGTGCGTTGGCCGCTTGTCACGTGCGCTTCCCGCCGTGCTGCCCCATGGCGGCTGGCGCCCCTGGCATCGCCTGAGATGGCGCCGGCGGGTTCCTGGCCCAGCCCGGGGRCCGTTAAACTGCCGCTCGCCTGGAGGCTGGGCTGAGGGGAGGCCCTGAAAGCCCTTAAAAGGCCTTGTTTTTAACACAAGGAGATTCCTGAGAGGTGAGGGACACGGAAAGAGGGGCGAGGGCTGGGGAATGGGYCAGGGCAGGAGCCCTCGGCCCTCCCGGCACTGCTGGGGCAGCGGTTTGCAACTGTGTGGAGCTCCGCGAGCCTCAAAATGGCGCAGCTGAGGTGCGAACACAGGGAGCTTCAGCTCACGAGAGGTTTGTTCCCCACACTTGTTTTTCACTGATCGTTTCACAATCGTTTTTCGCTTCCAAGTTGTCAACTAGGGACAGCCGCTCATGGGGTCAGAAACACTGCCTGGAGGATGCCCGCGTGTCTGTTTGGGATCCGCAGACTCTTAYCTGTAAAGCAGAAGAGGTGGAAGTGTGAGGTGTAGAGACACGAAACTGCTTGCGCTGCTCACAACCTGCTCCTCTGGCTGAAGCCAGGGCAGCCTGCGGCCTCCATTAAAGGTTTTCCAGGCAGCTTGGCATCCGCAGCGCGCAGTGGTTGATGCCTGCAGTTGTCCTGTCTAGTATGGGTGAGCAAAGCGCTTTGCTTCACAAATGTATGCAGCTTCACTTGGCTGTGTGGCAGCGTGAAAGCAAATAGGGGGGAAAAAACCCAAACATTTCCTTGTGTAATGTTATTTCAGCACGTGTTATTCAAGACAGAATATTCCTGTAAAACTACAATCCACAGCATTTATTATAATTTTATAGTAATTAAAGGGGAATGGAAGAAACACTATAAAATCATCAGCCTTATTTTTAAGGGAGTTAAAAAAATTACGCTCACTTTTAGTACTTTTAATGTAACATTAAATGCCTTCATAAAGTTAAACCTGGATCCTGCTATTTTACACGTTGTGGAGCACATACATTTTCAGAGGAAGATGGTTTCGCTGGATTGCACTCTCAGCAATCTTAAATTCAGAAATAAATGCATGCATGTGCATGTATGTTATTGTTTCAGATCTGTACTGTTACTATAGATATACGTTTAATGTATTTAATGTTTTATACTGTGGAAAGGTTTACTTTACTTAAGCTTTTTGCCACCGAGAAAATGTTGATTTGTTTTGTACTGGCTGAAACTTTTTTTTTTTTTTTAAAGTACAGGCAGGTCCCAGGAGATGGCACTGCACAACAACACATTTCAAAATATTTCCTGGAAATAAAGAGGATTTCACATGTAAAATTCAGTTGTGATTTTGTAAAACATGTTCGTATTACTATTTCAAGGAAGTTTATCAAAGAACAAAATGATCTAGTTTGTTTGCTAACTGATAGCCTACTTTAGTAGACRTGTTTGCATGTGTTATCTTTAGTATAGTGAACCACTGTATATACACTATRCAGTGTATATACACTCAGCATCTGTATGCACTCAGAGTGCAATCAGTGTAGATGCACCCAGCATCTTCATCTGCAATTCAGTAATAGGCTGAAATTTGCAATAAGTTGTAGCCTGCATTTACAGTTAGGAGAACTTAGAATTTGGCCCCTTTTATATATATTTTTACACACATATTACAGTATTACAGGYATTTTACTTTTCTGTATTGCATTCTCCCCTATATTGTGGTCTTAAGATCTATGATTAACCTAATTTAATACTTTTTTCTTAGTATATATACCGCTTAAATACACATGGTACCTCAATTTTAATAATTGTACTCTACTAAGTAAATACATATTTTAATCTTTTAAACAAAAATTACTGTCAAGATAAATCCTTGTGTCAACTCCAGCTTCAGATTTTTCCATTTATTTGAGAATATAGTCTGATGGAAAGGTTTTTCTAACATTTAATTACAAATGCTGAGGATTTTTAAGATGGACATAAATGCTTCTTATCAAACTTACTTTTCAGGAAAAGAAGAAAATCACATACATTTCAGGAAAAAAAGATTAAAATTTAAAGACATATCTGTACTTCAGGAGATGGAAAAAGCTGAAAATGTTATCTCTTCCATTTCAATTAAATTTCAATTAGTCTCAGTTTCCAAATTGGAACTAATAATTTGAGCCTTCCTTTGCAATGACGTCCAGGGGACCACATGTGAATCTCTATGTGGAATTTCCTTATTATTGTCTGATAGTGTTAAAAAAGATTTGTTCCCATTGTGGGAACAGACTGTAGCGAGCCCTGTAGGCTGCCTCTACCATGCTAAGCACCTCCTATTCTCTGCACAGAGAGTTTGTTGCCAGCTTTGAGCTCTTTTTAGACCATGACTTCATGGTAAATGAGAAATTAAAAAAGTGAAAGCATTTATTTTTGAGAATGCCAAGTTCTGTCTTTAATTCCTTTTGCAGTAGCTGGTGTCCGTGAAGATGTCTTCCTGATCTGGAATGAGCTGGAGGAAGCCAGGAGTACACTGACACAAGTCCAGAAAATTTTATYAGAATCTGACCAGCCTGCTTCTCGAAATGGTATCAGTTGTTTCTTTCAAGAGAGTGACCGCTGCATTCATGATCAATTTGTTTTGCTTGTGAACAGTTTGTATGATATGGCAATTTAGGGATGATTTTCTYATTGGATGATTTTCTTGTTAGTTCCAAGTAGGAGGGTTTAGCAGCAAAGTCTRAACATAGGCAGAATCTATACTTGGCATCTAAACATAGGGTGTTTAAAATTTTCCATTACAAACCTCTGTTTACTGCTGCTTTAAACTTGCTGAATTTTAACACCTCTGGCTGAAACACATCATTATTAATTCAYACCAGTGGTTAAGGTTTGGAAATTACCTAGATTTCAAGATTTTTTTTCTACCAGAGAGAGATAGCAAGCCTAGCATACTGGAAGCTACCAGTTTACCATGTATTTTTCTCAGAGTACTGATTTCACAGCATCCTAGACTTCCATATTCTGTACTGAGCAGCCCTTGGACAAAATACAGAAACAGCCTGAGAAACATGGATTGTAACTTGCATCACTGCACTTCTAGCTTAATATACTCCCCACTGATGTTGAGAATTTTAGTTCCCTTTTTGTGCTCTCTCCCTGCTTGCCTGGGCCAGTATATTTTTTTCGTGTTCTGCAGAGTGCTGTGAAGTCTTTCTCCCTCACGAACTTCTTCGGATAACTTCTTATCTTGTAGCTGGGATAATGCCCTGAAAGGGAAGAAGTTTTTGTTTTAATTCTCCCAGGGAGAGACAGAGAATTGAAACCAAGTTGCTCTCCTTTTAGGTGGGAGTCTGTCGCRTTAAGATACACAGCGTAACACCCATATCTGTTCATTAAACAATTTCCACCACTATATTTTGTCCAGAGCATGATCTGTTTGTTGTTCTTTGCATATTTAACTAAGGAGACAGAAGCCCTGCTGGTTTCTGAATCCTTGGAAGAGTTAAGTTGGTATCAGGGCTGAGAAGCTGCTCAGCCTTGCTGAGATGGAGGTGCTCTGGACACAGTGTTTGTGATAATATTGGCAAATTTTAACTACTGGAAATTTAGCAGTTTGTAAAGTCTAGGTGGCTTCAGGGTTAGATGGAGCTCAGAGGATGGATTTTCATTATCATAGTTGTAAGTGTCAATATCTGTGTTCTGCCTTACACCCTGGGTTTAAGATACTTAAAATTTTGGGGTTTTTTTTGCTTAAGTTGATACAAAATTCAGGCTGAATTAGCACAACTCATCAAGAATTTTGTGCAGTTCCAGGATTTTTTCTTTAGTGCAATTCTTCTTTGGCTAGGTGGAAGCAGGGGACAGATACCCTTGTCTGGATGACCTGCTGAAGAACAGTTAGTAAAGCCTCCTGTACCTCACCTGAGCTCTATGAGCAGTGTGTTGAGCTGTGTGAGGGGGCTGCAGCAGGAAGGGTCTGAAGCAGGGAGCTTTGCCTGCCTGCACTAGCTTTGAACATCTGGCAATAACCTAACTCCTCAGGACTTAGCTTGGCTTTATTATTCTGTGGCGGGATATTATACAGTTCTTTAGTGTTCTGATGAGAACATCCTCTGAGTTAGCAATATGCTAACTAAACAGCCAATATGCAGTTTAACAGCTATTGTAATGCATGTGAACAAAGGGAGCACAAAGAAGTTGCAAGGGCAGCTTTAATTCCAGGGCTTGTTAATTTATGAGTGCTTGACTGTGCAGCTTTAGTGTTCTTTTAGTGTATGCCTTCAAATGTAATCGCTTTCTAGATGAATTAAAAGAAATAAATGATAGCATGATTTACATTTAAATTATGACAGTTCTTCAGCGTTGTTTGAATTTTGTCCATTGGTCCAAATTACTACAATTTTTCTGTTTTGTCTGCCTTTGTCAGCCTTTCTTCCCATTTTTGCCTTCCTCTTTGTAAATGTGCTACTGTAAAGTACGACCAGTTCTCAAGATTGCAATGTTCTGTAGCAAGGGAGACAGAAACCAAGGGATAGATTTTCTGCTGACTTTCCAGATAATGCAGCTACCTCACTGGAGACGTGAATTTTTATGTATAGCACGTGGGAAAGAGAGACATGACAGATTTCTGTGTAGAGCTCCCTAAGTGCGTGTTTGTCAATTGTCAGAGCAGCCATCCTAAGCAGAAAGCAAACGTTGGCACGTGGACAGACTCCGACCCTGCACCTGCTGCTGACCGATCCCTGTGTGTGTTAAGGGAGCAGATAGGATAGTCCACAGGCTCAGGATCTCAATACTGTAGCCACCATAGCTGCATCTAAGGAGAGCAGGGTTATATCACAAAAGTCCCCTGAAATGAACGTGTGACAAAATACATTCATTTGTGTGACAAAATAAAGTCACCTTGCTATGAGAACTGCTGCTGGGTCTTTCGCTTTCGATGTGGTTTATTAGCTAGTGATGAGTAGAGCTCTTTATCCTGTTACCAGTATCCATAGATGTGCAGTTCCTAGTCCAAAGAAATGCTCCTTAGAGAATTTAAAACAGGATGATATGAAAAAGGTAAACATGAGACCATACCAGATAAAAATCTGGTTTCTTTCAATATTAATATTGATATTGAGGAGGAGAGCACAGACCCAGAGAACATGGCAGATGGCACACAAGTATAGAGGCTATAAAAAGGCAATATTAGGAARAAACAGAGAAAAATCTCTGCCAAAGACAAAGTTTGGTTTTCACTTTTAATAGCCTTCTCTCAAAGAACCAACAAGATGATACAGTGTTAGCCTATATTTTCAACTGGATTTCCAATTATATCTTCTGATATTTCCTTTTCTCAAATGATTCTACTTAAATTCATACATCTTATGAAGGAATCTATTCAGGCAGTTTGTAATTCAACAATTCAGCACTTAAACCAAATTTTATAGTACCAAAAACATTCCTTTCACATGTTGATCCTATTGCCTATTGAAATTCTTTGCTCTCAGTTTTCTGATGGGTGGCACAAGTTATAAAGGAATCTTTTGCAGAGAATTGCCTGATAATAATAATTTAAAAAAAAAAACACTATTGAAGAAGAGACTATTAAAAATCTGTCAGAAATATCCACTCACTCCAAAGTTGTTCGTGCAAGTAGAASAGCTAAAGAGCAATGAATCTTCAGAGAATTTAGCTGCCAGCTTTTATCAGCTGATGATATGAGTTTAAAACTTGACAAAATTTYGATGATAAGGTTGGCAGGAGGCACAGGCCTGCTATATATGGGACTCTGTCAAAGTTGGAATCTGTCCTACAAAGCCCAAAGGTGTGAAAGCTCCTTAAAAAACATGTCTAGAAAATTGTCCATATCACAGAATCCTAGAACCACAGAAGGGTTGAGGTTGGAAAGGACCTCTAGAGATCTCCTAGTCCAACCCCCTGCTCCAGCAGGGACACCCAGAGYAYGGGGCACAGGGCGGCATCCAGGCTGGTTTGGAAGACCTCCAGAGAAGGAGACTCCACAGCCTCCCTGGGCAGCCTGTTCCAGGGCTCTGGCACCCTCAGATATCTGAGAACACGGAATGTTTTCCTCTGTCGTTTGAGAAACATCCATACTCTTTTTCTTCCTCTGTCTGTCTCTCTCTTACACTGTCTGCCTTCCTTAACAACTATGCATAGGCAAGTTTATAACACAGAAGATTATAGTTAGCAGTCAGAAACTGATTATGTAGGGGAAAATCATAAAAACCTGATAATTAGAACTGATGAGGGAATATGCTAGACAGTTCTAATGACTGTTGTATCTTCTTATGCCACATAGAGTTCCATGTTTTATGTTTGGGGAAAATCTGGGCCTTTATTATCCTGGCTTAATTCTATATTCAGTTCAGGATTTTCTAGGATCCTTCTCAAAGTTCTGCAGAACAGTTCTGCTGTGAAAATTAACAATGTTTAGGTAGACTCCTAAATCCATATTTAAGCAATTATATTGATGGCCTAATCCCCTGTTATTGGCTTAAGAGACTAAGCAAGAATTAAGAGACCAAGTGCAATTATAAATTTAAATCTTTTGCCCCCAGTATCATAGCAGCTTTTGGAAATGGCTTATCAAAAATGAACCGTGTTAAACGTTTTTATTTTTATTTGCCTTATTTAGCAACCCAGCCTGATCGTTCACCACAGGAGCATAAGTCTGATGAATATTTGTCCTCCGAGGAGTGGTTGCAGAAGTATGGCCTGAAAGCTCGGAAGCTGACGCTCTATGATGCACTTGCTGATTGTAGTTTTCGCCACGCTGATGGGATTGTTGACATAAAAAGGAAACCAGAGGATGAATCTTCACAAACTGATGCTGTCAGTATCGTTTATTTCCCCTCATCCTGTGGGTTGTTGCTTACTTCTTGATTTACAACTTGAGATGTTGATGAATGGCTCTATTTATGTTGCAGGGTTTGATTTTTTGTGATGTGTCTTTTGTCAGAACTGCTTTCTTAGTGGGATGAGACAAAGATGGTCATAAATCAGATTTCTTCAAAGGGCTGTCTAATTGAAAATGATGGCATCTGCCCTTCTGGTCTGCCTATGATCTGAAAGGAGGAATCATGGCTGGCTTCAGCAATGCCTTATTATTTGACTTTTCATTTGTTTTCTGTTTGTTTTTCTCTAATTCTACCATTATGCTATTCAGTAYACTTTGTTCTTCCTAGCTAGAGTATGAAAACTATTTCTACAGACTTTTGCTAGGGACAAATTCTGTGGCCACTTTATTCTGTGTCCAGTTCTGCAGCTCTTCCTTTGCAAGATGCACCTACCTTTGACGTTCCTTTTCCAGGTGTTATAGCAAAAGGGTATGTTTTSGAACATGCAACCTGTGTTTCTTTGCTGTAGGAGACAAAGAGGAAGATTATTCATGCAAAATACTGTGACAAGTTTGTACAGGCCTTCTGGAAAGATGGCTCTGTAGTTCATGTGCATGTTACTACAGAAAAATACAAGCAGTATGAAGAGAAAATGAGAACTGCTCTCAGACAAGTGGAAGGAAGGTTAGTTTTCTATCCCATAAATTCAGTTTGTGTTACTTTACATTGCTGTTAGAAAGTTCCCTTTACTGCTATAATAAACTGAAGTAGCTGCTAAACTGCCAATAGCAGTATTAAGGCAGAAATCTATTCTTGAATCAGAATTCTGTGTCTTAGTAGCTATAAAGTAAACTGCCGAAGAGTTTTTCTACCCTTTGTTCTCCTGATGGATCAGAAAAATGAAAGTCATTCCGTGCACTCCCAAAATACTGCTGAAGTTATAAAAAGCATTGGAAGGCATTAAACTTGRTAGGCATTCATTCTGTATACCTAAGAATCTCTTGTGATACCTTTAAAAGAGAAAACAGATGCTTATAGTTTCCATTTTCTTGCTCTTTAAGAGCATATTACACTAGCCTTGGGATAGGTTTCTGTGTAGATGAGCCAGCTACAAAGGTGAACCAACTGCTCTTCTGAAATTGCTYATTTTCCAAGACACTCTTCCCTAAAAAGATGCAGCAAAGGTTAACTACATGTTATCATCATGTGGGGAGCAGACCTCCCCTAATCAGGAGGAGGAAATTGCCAGAAGGGAGCACTTTTTTGCTTGYCAGAGGAGCCTGAACATGTTTCTTATAACACAAGGAGTGTTCACAAGGAGAGATTTTTTCCTAATTGCTAATGGGACTGGCATTATCTGAAATTAGATAACCTCTCCTGAAATATTCCGAGGACAATTGAAGATGACACATCATTTGAAACCATGAAACCATGAACAGCTGGGGCGGTTCTGCTGATCAAGAACAGCCTGCAGAGCCAGTCATCTAAATCATGRCAACACTGCTCAGTGAAAGGGGACCAGGGATCTCTACCTGGCTCTCATGCCAAGCAGCAGAGCTTGCCCTGTGCCCATCCTGGCAATGGCTCTCTGCCTTCACACCAATTCTTTGTGGGTTGGAGGGAAAAAATATGAACACTGTGAATCAGAGGCAGGGCTGGCTTCATGGTTTATATTTCTGTAGCAATATAGACACATGTACTTGCAGATTCTATGGGAAGACTACACAAAAATAGGCAATTCTAGGTGTGGCTCTCCTGCCCTACAGAGACAGGCCCCAAGTAGGTTAAATGGATTATACTTGAAAAATGCCCATTTCTCTTGTTGTCTGCAAAAGCAATCTTCCTCTGAGTAACTCAAATGTGGATATCTCCATTACAGATTCAATGAATCTTATAATTTATATCTACATTAGGAAAAGGACAGTTTCACAATAGATATCCTAGAGCTAACAGAAAGAGTACACAGTGCCTTCTGTTTTGTATATTAGAGCAATGAGATGTCTCATCAAAAAGAAAGCAGGCTGTCACCTCCCTTTTTTTTTTTTAGTTTTATTGCTGCTTCTCTACCAGAATTGTAATAGCCTGAATATATTTAGCAAGGTTTAGCAGAATTTTGTTATTCCTTTTAGTGTTATCCTCTTTTATTTTTAGGATAATATTTACATATTGTGAGAGCAAAATTTGAGGTAAAATGCTTTGATGAATTTGTATTTTTGAAATGCAGAGCTATGGTTATAACAAATGTCATAACAAAATCTTGGTAGACTTCATCAAACACTTTTGGGAAATAACTAGTGGTAGAATGTTTGTCAGTAGAAAACATAATAGGATCCTTTCGTTTTCTATAATAATATATATTTTTTTAACCTCTCTGGAATTTAGTAATTTTTTTCCCAAGGCCATTATGTTCAGTCTGTTGAATGATTATGCATCAGAGTAGACAAGGAGTTAATGACTCTCAGGGGGAATTAGATTTGAACCAGTTGAAGCCATTACTGAGGAAATATTCTAGCACACAACTGTGTGCATGCACATATTTAACCAGCAGGCATGCTCAAATTCTGTTTAAGATGTAAAACTAAGTCTGTGGTTAAGGCCCCAGGTCAGCAAGGCATTTAAGCATCTGTGCTACATTAGGACTCTTTAAAATGCTTACGCTCCGTGCAGAATAGATTCTCAAGTGATTTCCTGAGTGGGGAGGGATATTAGCATATGTTTATGTGATTTCTTGACTTCAGCTTGGAGAACAGCTACAGGGGCAATGGAATTAGAGAGGAAATAGTCAGTGCCTGACATTGACATTATAAAGTTGCCCTATAGCTTTGTGTTTCGTCTGCCTCCAAATTCCTGCTGAAACAGGAAACTAAGAGGGTCTTGCATTGTTAGGTAGTGAGAGACTAAAGGTTTCAGGTCAGTTTACTGCATGTGACAGTGACTAGTGACAGATGTTTAGGGAAAGGGAATAAGAAATGCAGCAATGATAAAAAAGGTACTTCCTGATAGACTCTGATACACAGTGTGCTGATATGTTTTTGTTTCTTCCATCTCACCTCAGGATTAAGTGGCTTCAGCAAGGAAGCAGAGGGCTCTTTGGAAATGTGTTTGAAGATGATGTCTATATTCTTATTGATACGTCTCAGTCTATGAAGGACAAGTTGTCCCTGGTGAAGGAGAAGATATTTCAGCTCATACAGGTTTGATTAAGTGATGATTCTGAAGACAAAAAAAAAAAAAAAAAAAAAAACCAACCAAACAAACAAAAAATGCAGTGTGATGAAACACCTTTGGAATTTTCATTTTTATTTTAGACAGTGTCATCCAATTCCACTGGCAGGTTGTGATTTGTAATGAGAGTTCTAGATCCAGTCATGTACTTTAACTTTGCCAGTGACAAATATTCCATCAGTCTGACATTGATAGCAATCATTAGTTGGGCAAAAACAATAAAACTGCAACAGAGTTTTTTGTACTAAGTGTGTAACTGACAGGAAATAGTAAGATGCGGTTGTCTGGTGGATCAGCACTAGAAGAACAGACACTGTGCAAGAAGGTTTTGCAGGTGTCTGCACAGAAGTGGTGGCAATAGGCAATCAAAGACTCTAGGCTCTGAAAGTTTATACCAGCTTGCACAGAACTTTCAGTCTGTTACAACTTCTGTCCAAAAATCAACTTCAGGAAATCATCTTAAGTCTCTCTTTACTGTCCTAATTCTTCCCCTCATTCTCCTGCTCTAAACAATGTCTTATTTTGATTTTCATTTTACTTTCCTTTATAAAATAATCATTATCTCTTCCTTATCCTAATGTATTTTATCCAATCTCATCTCTATTTCTCATCCTCCTAGATATTTTGTTTCTCGAATGGCCTAGGTTTAGAACTGTGAGTAAGTGCAGACTTACACTGCACAAGTTCATATCATCTTCATAATTGCATCCAGCGTCAGACCCATCTCTCTGTGTGTCTCTGTATACCGTAACTCAATGATACCGTAGTTTACTGTAACCATATAATCAATATATACTATTTAAGACTGTACTAATCTGACTGAAAGTAATAAACTGTAGAAATTACAATACAGTATTGAAGAATTCAGGCGTTGTCTCTTGCAGGAACAACTGAGACACAAAAAGAGATTTAACTTTGTGAAATTTAGTGCTCGAGCAGTGGCGTGGCAAGAGAGACTGGCTGAAGTTAATGAGGAGAATTTGCAGGATGCTTGGCTTTGGATAAAAGGACTTGAGGTAACATGGAAACTAATTATCAAGAATTATCTGCATGGTGTTTTTTTTGGATGGACTAAGTGTTTGACTTAAGTTTCATGTCAGGTATTATCTTTTCACAGTGAGCATGTTTATAAATTTGTATTAATTCCACTTACTGCTTGATACTTGTAATAACGACAGTGCAAGTTTGATATATTTAGGAGGCAGACTCAGATCCTGTGTTTAGATTTGTCCTTCTTGCTTCATGGATGCTGCATGGACCAGGGCAGTTGTGGGCAGACCTACAGTCCAGCACATGTTTAAGAAACCATCTGTTGGGAAGCTCCTGAACTGCAGGAGCTCTTCACTTTGCTTTGGGTGTATAGGCAGGCAGCTGGCTCTGAACATCTACAGACAGATGAGAGCAGCCACACGGAGTCAGACCAGACACCCACCTATCTTGCCAATGTTCTCTCTGCCTGTGGCCAAAAGCTGGTGATTTTTCCCCAAAACAGAGTGGAAGGGTTTGTAGTCTGCCGCAGTCACACACCAGCCTGCAGGGAACTGCCAGCAGCTTCAGACCAGTCCATGTGTCAATGTGGACAGCAGCATCCCCAGCATGGGACTGCGAATCAGTGCACATCTATGTTACATGTTACATTTGCTAGCAGAAGAACATGTACTCAAAGTCCTCACCCTTCCTCAAGTGATAATAACCCATCATCCTCAGAAAAGAGTAACACAGATGCATAGAGAAGGGAGAAACATTGGCATGGCCTGGTTGAGCAGTTAGGTAAGTGTGGTTAGCAAACCTAGTGGTCCTGCCTTCCTTCAAACCCAGAGAATTGTCTCTGGTTTAAGCTATGCATATGCTACAACGTCATGCAGGTTTGATCATATCTTGAACTTGCTTGATTTGACACCATTTTGTACCTGCATTTGATAATGGCCTCTTTTTTTTTTTGTCAGTGTTCACTGAAGCTGTGAATAGTCTATACATTTCCTTTCAAGTGCTCAGCTCTGGATTTCTGCAAAGCACAGGGAATTGTGCAAGAGCAATCTGCGATTTTTTTTTCAAGGATCTCATCTGCTCCTGACCTTTTAGACTGCTTAAAACAGCACAGGCATAAGCCTGAGATCAGAAAGCTGGTTTGATAGTGAAGCTGAAAGGAACAGCAGATCTCTCTGAATATCAATGAGAACAGATCCTTTGATCTCATGTTGTATGCTTTGGTTCCCAGAGAGGCTGATTAAGGAAGATGATCTATAACAGTAACTGTGCCCTAAAAATCCTTTAGAGGTGGATAACATTTACCTTTTGTGGAGTGATAATGCCTTGTAATTGAGGCATGTCACATTCACTTATAATTTACAAAAAGCARTAGTGTATTTGTAAAAGTAGCAAGCGAGAAATCTAAAATTAAGATTTACCATAACATTCATAGTCATGCAATACATCCACATTATATGTATTTTCCCCTGAAAAGTAGAAGAATTTTGAAACCAGGTGCCATCATTAGAAAGACCCAAGATGGATAATTTAGACATAATTAAGGGTGATGCTTAAAACTCTATGATACATACTGAAACATTAAGAATATTAGATGCATTCAACATAAGAAGTGGCTTGGGCTAGTTATGAACGGATGCTGTTAGAGCTTCCTGTGGATAAGGAGACAGGAGTAGGAAGCATYTATGTGATCATCTTGCCTGGCCCATAGAACTGTTACGTAGCTCTACAGAGTCACTCCCAGACTGTACCATCTATTTTACCTGGTTTACTTTCTAAAAAGTACTTTACTTTCTAAAAATTTTACCTGATTTTTTCATTTACTTTACTTTGGAAGACTTTTAGTGCCATTACCACACTTAATAGGACTGAAGTAACAATGTTCTCTTTTAACATATTTTTGGATGTAGGGTCAATATTARGGTTGATAGAAACATATGTATCTTCTGTAATGTGGTATATCTGTGGATCCTAAGTCTCTTCTCACTTAGGCTTCTATAATTCTCATGCTGTCTGAACAGGCACTCATGCATTTTACTACYATAAAACTGACTTGTATCGTGCAAAGGAGTTTTCTTGGCTCCTATTTGAATCTAGAACTAAGAATTAACATTTTTCCACGTTGATAAAACTTCCCTTTTCCCTTGAATATAGTAGTTTTTGTGCATTGAATGTTTGAAAGGCAGAACTTTGAGGATAAAAATTATTTTAAGTTTTGGGTTCGTGTAAGATGTGCTTTGCATTTCAGTGAGCTTAGAAGTTGCATTAAGTCTAGAAAGAAAGAARACAACTCATGAACACTGTGTGAGTGATGCATGAAAAGTGTTGCTCAAATATGAATTTCTAGAAGGCACAGTACTGTTACTTGTATTTTTATTGTCRTGGCTAATGTTCTTCCTGAAAATCTAATTATATTTATATTGATGTGCGGAGGGATTAGATGGAAGATAGTTTGGAAAAAAAATAGTTGAGAAAAGCAGTGAGTCCTTTTCCTGTTTTTGAGGAACATCTTGAGCAACTCATTTACAGGTTTGAATTATTRGATTAAGTAAAATTCATGTGTCAAGTGTGATGAGTTGGCAATCAAGAACAGTAACGGGAAAATGCAATATATCCTCTATATTATATCTTCCTATCTGTTTATATTCTTTCAGTGATTGTTTTTGCTACAACTTGCATTTCGGTTGCTCAACAATTCATTTATATATGGTTGCATAAGGCCAGAATGCCAATTTGGCGCCAGTATGTGCTACTTTGACATTTACTTTGATTTTCTGGCTGTTCAATGTTATCTCCTTCCTTTTGGTTGCTCAGGTTGGGACTTCCACAAATACTCTCCGAGCTCTGCAGATTGCTCTTGCTGACACTGGCACTCAAGCCATTTACCTTTTGACTGATGGGAGACCTGACCAGGTATTTCTGAAGTGACAGAAAATGAATTAACGTGCTGCTGCAGGGATGGTGGCAGGCAGCTGAGGCAGACTGTAGGGGATGGATATAATACCTCAGAGCTGAGTCTCTTGGAGGTGGTCATAATACCAATAAATTGGATCTCTGAAATGTGCTGTTTGTGGAAGGGTTTTGGTTAGAACTCTTCTCCCACGGTACCRCTTTTGATGTGTGATAACTCATGTCATTTCTAATTAGTTGTTTTAAGGATTTAATAATAGATTAAAATTGTATCTCACTGGCTGAGCTTAGGATTTACGTTAAACCATACCTATTACATTCCTAACTTAGCAAAAATATTCTCRTTATTTAAAAGTTGAGAAATAATGGATTTCCAATATGATTGGATTTAAATATTAAAAGTTTTCAGCCTCCCATAATATGATCGGTTTAATTATTAAAACCTTGCAACATTGTGTGATGGCTTGGAAACACAACAAGAAAGTGACTGATAACAAAATTAGCAAATTTGAGCTCAAGATTTTTTACCAAATAACTCATTAAATATATAAGTATTTACTTAGGTAAATAGCTGTGTTGAAAGTCACATAAAATTAGTTGCTTAAGCATATGCAATAAATCTGTGATTCCAAAAGCATAGTAAACTTAAATAACTTTTTTATGTCCCGATAATGAAAAAAATGCTAAAGKCTTCCTATAATTTTTACTCTGTTTTTCTTGATCAAAGAAAACTAGCCCAAGAATCAAGGTAGATTTACATGCTTCAAAGTTACATGGATATCAAAGTGTAATTAATCCTGATGTAAAATAGCAGATGAAAAAGTTTGATTTACATATTAAATTTTCTTTTAATTTTAGTTTTAATCTTTGTTATTTTCTAAGGGAAGGTTGGTTGTTATTGGCTATCAGTCATTAAAACTCCTCAGTTTACAWTTGAATACAATCTTCATTGTTTGACACTTTACCTTTGCTAACTGGGACATATATTTTAGGGCATATGTAATTTCTCAATTTAATGCTTTATTTGCCTTTAGAACTTCAGAAACAAAGCATACAAATTATTTTAGAGTTTTAATTTCATTAGAGTATTCTATGCCTCAGTACTACAAATTTATTTCAAAGAGTTCATTTTAGTGATTATGAAATACGTAATCTAATGTAATATAAATCTATGCTTTTAACTGAGCTCTCTCTGTCTGTAAGTCCGACTGTGACTGCCAAGATTCCATGTAGATTCTCCAAGTTTTTAAAAATCCATTTTATGTAAATGTATATTTATGTAAATGTATAAGTGTTTAATAAACACTTTTGTTCTTCAGCGCCCTCAAACAATCTTGGCTCAAGTCCAGCTTCACCATAAGATTCCCATTCATACTGTATCCTTCAACTGTGATGACACAGAAGCCAATAAATTTTTGCATGAACTAGCTACAGAAACAGGGGGCCGGTTTCATTATTACAACATTTATTTGACTGATCCCGACGCTGCAGAGACTATTGTTGTGAGTATTCCTAAATATGTGTTATATTTATAATATCGCTGCTTTGTGCTATTGAAGAGACCGCAGGATTTGCATTACTGCAGTTTGCTATTACATACAATATATTATTTGGAAAACAAGGTTAAACAGTCAAACAAGTTAAACAAGGTTAACTAGTCAAATCTGAAGTGCTGTGAAAGAAATGCCTATGCCATTTTTTGATTATGATATTTTATTAGATCACAACCAATAAGCCCAAAAATGTAAAGTACATTTGTTCTGCTAACGTTGCTGAAAAGAGGACATACATTTAGGTCAAATTCAGTTCTGGAAGACACACACATGGTATCTGTTGTCTCAGAAATAACTTACTGTGTAAAATGAAACAATAGTTTGTATCCTGTTAATGAATGAGGGAATGGAGAGCTGAATTTTGCTGAAAGTTTCCTCTACAACAGCCACTGGGGAGAAATCTGTAATGGCTCAAGTTACTAGAATAGCAGAGACCTGTCGAGTGTAACTAAGGAGCTCAATCTAACAGTTCCCAGTAGGAGAATTCTGAACAGGCTGAAAGGAACACCCACCGAAAGCATATCCTTATTTTTAATTAAAGCTAACACTCAGTTAATTAGTTCCACAAATTGTAGCAATGACTGTAGTGGAGCTATGAGAACAACTGGGAACAAGACAGTAGCAGAAAATTTAGCCTGCTGCAGAGAGTAATTAAAAGAAAGAAGATATGAAAACGCCCCAGCTCTAGCAATATGTCTGGGGATGCACTGGACGATTTTGGTGACTCTGCTGGTGTGTGACTCTGGCACATACTGGAAAGATGAGGACCAGTCTCTGTCGCCCAAAGCCAGAATTTGCACTCCGTGGGGGCTGGAAAGGGGTCATCTTTGGAATCTCCTTCCTGTTTTTTCTGCCTGTGATCCAAATGATTCCGAGTCTGTTCACTTCCAATGCTTACTTGAAGAGTGTGTTTCTTACTTCTCATCTTTCAAGGACTGGATGTGATACAGCTGTGATCTGGTGGACTGATGGAACAATAACAGTTGACATATACATAACTTCTCTTATTTATTTGTGAGCGTCTGACCTCACTGTATTATTTAGAAATATGGCAGTTSATAATTGGTGGCGAGCATAATTGGCTCTTTGGAGAATGCTGTTTTTTTTCTCCTAAAATGCATGAATTGACTCCATGGTTGCCCAGTGTTGCCAAATACACTTTGATCTTCTTTCGCTGTCACCTTGCTTGTATGTGCAGAAAGTGAACAAAACAAATTTGGTTTAGGATGCAGGGAGACTACAGGGAGCAGGTAGTTTCCCTGAAGAAGTATACAAAATAATGTGGCTGCTCTAACTGGATCGTTATCCAAATTATCAGAATTTGGATAGTTTTGGCTCAGAAATGGAGCATTTAAAGAGTAATTGTAATAMGACATTTAGCTTTGTCTTTGATAGAGTGAAGATATGCGCCTTCTAAGAAGAGAGATTGAAAAGGGAGAAAGAGATCTAGAAAAAGTGAAGAACTTTCATGAAGAATGTCTGATGATGGATTGGTGTAATGGAGAAAAAAGCACAGAGAACAAGTATGTCCTGAAACTGCCGTTCTGCTGATATGTGGTAGGGGCTGTCTGTTAGGTTTCTCCTTCTGCACTGTGTTGCATTTTTAAGTCTTCTCTTTCAAGAAGAAATGTTGAATTTCTTTTGAAAGAAACAGTTAAATTAATGGAAATAGTTATATTAATGGAAATTTCCCTGTGCCAYATGCTCTGGGTGTCCCTGCTAGAGCAGGGGGGTTGGACTAGATGATCTCTACAGGTCCCTTCCAACCTCAACCATTCTGTGATTCTGAAAAATAAAACTGTAATTAATACAGTAATACTTTCCTGTAACAAAACAATAGACTCTCTCAACTATTAGGAATAGTTAACATGAAGAGGCGAACACATTTTGATGTCTTCAGGACATGGTAGAGTTGTTCCCTTTGACCCAAGGAATTTGTTAAAAAAATGATTGTCCTATTGATAGAGCTGCTTTTTATCAAAATATAAGTAATTTTGTCAGTAAATGTATCTCCAAGTTTGGCGTCAATTGACAAACTCTGTGAGAATCTCACAGTAAATTAAAATCAATATGCTTACAATGAAACAAATGCTTTAAATAAAAAGAAATTTGAAGTGGAGTGTCCTGTTGAATGATTTAATGTACATGGAAGGGAAAGTAGGTTGTCCAGTATAAAAATGAAAATAAGTACTTATATCAAAGTTGGTTTATTTATTTTTTGTTAATGGTGGGACATATATGTATATATGTGTGTCACTTTCATTGCTTTCATTGCTGTTGGTTATTTTACTCTTTCCCCTAGAATTCAAAGCTACTACTACMGAACAGTCTGATCTCGTTAAAAATATACATTAAGGTGTTGCCTTAAACCTAATAAACAACATTTTAAATGGGTTAATGAACAAATTTTAAACATTTTTAAAACTAACAATATTTAACCACCTTTGATCCCCTCCTTGAGGAGCAGGATAATACAGCAAATATTTTGCACTCCTGGAAATAATTGAAAAGTGTGTTTAAATTTCCAGAAAGCTTTAACTTTTAGCATTTAGAATCATTTTTTTTTTTTTACCCCGGTGCTGTCATATTTCAGAAGCTCATTTATTGCTTGTTTGTTGCTGCTGTTGCTTTGGTCCCTTAAAAGCGACGCTCCCAGGCAGGTCCTCGCCGTGTCCCCTGGGAGCAGCCGCGCTGCAGAGCGGAGCGCAGCTCCCAGCAAGAGGCCGCGCTCAGCCCCGGGAGAGCCCGCGGCCGCCTGGCACAGCACGGCGGGCAGCCCGGCCCAAAGGAGGAAGGCCCTTCATGCAGGTAAGGACCTATTCTGCAAATACATCAGTGCTTCTTGTGGGAAGAAATGCAGCCTTTGGTTTTGTAAGAACCCATTTTCTTGTGATTCTCACTTCCTTTTCATCATTTTGCTTCTCATCTGTCTTACCGATTTGAGCCAGATTGACAGATGTCTTCTCGTTTCTGCTTCATCGCAAGCCCTGCAATGAGGGATGGGACTGCTTTGACAGAAATGCTATAAAAGCTATGTAAGCGGTTTGTTAACAGCACATATTTGACTCATTTCTTTTTAATCTAATTAAGTGCATCACTGATAAAAATGAAGAGCTGTTCTATGTTGCATTAGTTACATCATTAATTACATTCATATTTTTCCTTAGTACACTAAATTTCTCTTTGAAGCATCACATAGATGCAATCTGAGTTTATCTGGCTGATGTGAAAAAAAATCTTCACCCCTGGGAAAAGTACAGAGCACAAATTAGCACAGAAGTTGTGTTATCATCAATGTCTTGGGCAGGCAGTCTCCTAAAACTGGGATTAGGCAACCAAAGAATAATTTACTTTTCAAAAATCTCTGCCCTGTATTTGACCAATAAGTTAGCTGTTCTCTCCTTTCCCTTTTAACACTTACAGAACAAACAAAGACAAGTCTGTTGAGAATCCTGAGCCATAGAATGAAATCTAGGGAAGAAAGCCCAGAGGAAAGAGCATCTCCTGAAAAAAAGGAGGTTTCTGGCAGAAAGAATGTGAAATCTGCATCCACTCTCAAAGGCAAGTTAACACAACAGGAAGCTGCAAGTGGGACAGATGGTAACKCTTCTCCTAATAGGTTTCAAATTAGTGGTATCTCATTAGGGACAAAACTAAGCAAACCCACAGAAAAGAGGGGTGCAACTCAACAGAGATGTGGAGGGCTGGTAGTTTTTTCTTTTGGTCTATAAGAAATAAATATATATATAAAAAAATCAAGGGACTTAAAAAAGAATCCCTGTCTTCTTTACTCATTTCTTTATTAATTGGATACCATGAGGCATGTGGTAACTCTGTTAATATTGATCAAGCACCAAGAAAGAACSACAGGAAATATAATTCTCATTGATAAATTTAGCCACTGCAATGGACAGTGTGCAGCCCTTGTGACACTGCTGACAGGCTGAAATAACAAGCTGATACTGCTACTTTGTCAGTATAAGTGTGTGTTCTTCTATCTGCACAAAAGGCATGACCCAATGCATTGCAAATGTTTTTTTTCCCCAGATCTGAAAATGCAGGGAGATGTGAGAAGACCGGCTAAAAGGTACATTAGTGCACATGTAGATATATCACAAAAGTGATAGTTTATACTTTTCTTGAGCCCCTTTGAACTGCTCAAACACCTTTCTACCTCGTCCTGCATCCTACAGTCTCTTTTCGCCCTAGTTCTGCAGGTGCCTCCTCGGCTCGGTGGTTGAGGACTCATGGCCTGGTCGCCAGACATCTCACCATCCTGGACGCCTTAGCTCCCACAGCTATCCCTCACGGCACGACGTACGTCCCAGTTCTGGACAAGCACGTGGGCTCTAAAGTGTTTGATGAGGTAAAGCTCTTAGGCTGYTTCAGAGCAACCATCGAACTTGGCATTGGTGTAAGAAGGATTTTGTTGTTCATCTCTGCAAATATCATGATTGTGTTCTCTGATGTTTACTACGATGTACACTAAATATATAACACGTATCTGAAAATGCATTYATACATCAGGAAGAAGGTACAGCTCATAGTTAATACTATTTCCTACAAATGGAGAGATTATAAGTTTTCAAGTTGTTCATTTTCCTCTTGCAGTTACCAGCTGATGGCAGTGTGCAGCCATCAGGTGTTCAGAAATTTCCTGTGAGCCACAACTGCTACTGATGTGTATTAATTCACCAGAGTTCTATATTTTCAGCTCATTAAGTCCAAAGAACATCATGTAGGCTTTTGTGGATTGGTGCATTCTCTTATGTCCTTTTAAAGACAATCATTCTATAATTAAAACCTAATATTGATAGGTGTAGGTCATTGGGAGCTTCTGGAAGTGCAAAAACTCATCAGGCATTATGTGCCAAGGAAGCTGTATTTGCCATTCTTTCTACAGGAAGTCCATTTTGTAAAAAGTTTCTCTAAATTAATTTTTCTTATATGATGCATTCTATGAAAGTCCTATGAACATACTGCAGTTCTTTAACAGATGTTTCTCAAAACATTGTTAAACTAAAAAGCTAAACAGGATTTGTTTAGATAAACATTATCTAAACAGATAATAATGGGTAAGCAARAGTTTCTGGAGTAGGATGTGATATAGGGCTAAGTAAATACAATGAGTGTACAAATATGCATTTTAAAGCTKTCTTTTTTTTTTCTTTTTATAATTTAGAAATGGGAATTTTTGCCATAATATGCAAATTTATGAAGCAAAATCTTTTCTGTTTTAGTAAAATTAAGTGAAATCCAGGATCCTGAAGCACTTTTTTTGAAGTGAGAAGGAGATAGTTTTAAAAATGACTTTTCTGTCAAGACCATTTTTAAAAGTACATTTTCACATTTTGATGTAAAATAGCCTCTTTTTTTTTTCCAAAAAAAAGCAATGACTGCAAAACTGCAAAAAATACCTATTTTCAGTAAAATGCCAGACAGTTTTGCTAGCATCGCTGAGAATTCTTGATACTCTCATACAACACTTGGAGATTGACTTCTGAAAAGTCATTTCTTTCTGTCTTTTTCTGGATATATGCACTAAGTAGCCTGCTTTTTTCCACCTGTCTAAATTGCCAGACTCCTTTTCTATCCCTTCCAGGCAATTCTGAGCCATTTTTGAAATTTATTTAATTATTTTTTTTTTATTTAAAGTAGCTTAAAAGATATCCATCTCAAAAGCTACTATTAACAAGTGCTAAATTAGAGGTATTTTTATAGGGAGTTTGTGGGAACGTGTATCAGCCTAATTTAGGGCTGAGTTAAGTTCATAGCTTTAAGTTCATAGCTCTTACAATGCTGTACAGAATGTGTACAGCTGCTGTAGGGCTTAAATAGTTATCTATGGCCTTTTCTTCACTTCAGAGGTAGAAACTCGTACAAAATCTTTTTKTACTACTTCATCGTACCTAGATAGCCCTCATTAATTGCACTGAAAGCCTTTGGGTTGTAGTGGAATAAGGAATTGTTGTTCTGTCTGTAGAAGCATGGCTTTTTCTGTACCCAAAACAGGAGATGGAAAGGAAAAATCAAATCTAGGATTGCAAACAAAGCGGAGCCAGTAGATTTTTACTTTATCAGTACCCATTCTCCTTCAAGCTTCATGCTAGCAAATCAAGGAAAAGGAGGAAGCCTTTTCTCTCTCACCCAGGTTCTGAGATGAACCAGGAGGCTTGAGTAGGAATCCTTAGCAGATTGATTAAGCGTCTTCATTATTCTGCTAGTCTGGAGGACTTCACTGTGAGTAAGAAATGCAGAGCCATGCTCATGTTCTTTCTCCTGAGGTCTTACTTTCCTTGGTGGGAAATGCAGACATGGTGCTTTGCTCTTTCTGGGGACAGTGAGACCATTTACTTTGGGCCTTTGCTCATGGTGATGCTGGACTAGCTGTGAGCAGCCTTCTCACCTCGGAGAAGGGGCAAGCACAAGGTTTCTGTGACAACTGCTCATTAACAAGGGACTCACCWGTTTTTCAGTTCTGGCTGGCCTTTCCGTTTCACAGGAGTTATTTCAAAGGGTTTGTTTCATTAATCTACCCATCAGTTTTGTACTGAGGGGAAAAAAGCTACGTAGTTTTGGAGAAAACCTCTGTAGAGAAGCTGTGGAGTATCTGGTTTGCAGGTTGTGGCATCTTTAGTACAGCCTGGAAAGTCATGGATTTTTACCTTCTATGGCTTGCTCAGACAAACCAAATTCAAATTTAGTCCAAGAAAAACATCTACTTCCGTCTAAAATAAGAAATAATTTTCTAGGGTTATTGAGTTTTGGTTTTGCCCTTAAAACATTTGCATTTTTTTTTTCTGAAGTAAAAGCTATTTTGAAACAGAAACATTTATTTGATATGCAAATGTAAGTATTTAATTTATAGCACATGATCATCTAGCACATGATGCTGTTTGTCCTTGGAGTTGCTGTGGGAGTTTGTAAGGTCTTGCTGATGTTTTAAAATCTTGGTTGAATAATATAAGAGCCAACAGGGAGGGCTGTATGGAATTGGACAAGAGGTGCTCTCAGGTCCTTGCCATTCAGCTTTCCAAGTCCACTTTTATCCTAACTCATACTGTACTGTCATGTTGCAATCAACTTCAGCTTCTAAGTGATCTTAAAAATAATCTAATATGAAAATTTTGATGTAGTCTGATACTAAAGTGATGTGAATTCATAAATTAGAATGAAGAGGCCCTCAGAAAGAGGCCTGCAACTTCACAGCCAGCTGCTCATGGGAAATATAAAGTCACACCACTGCTCCTGAAACATGATAATGCAGAAGTAACTGGGAATCCAGCTAGGTTGTGATGGTGTGAACACAAATAAAATGTAACTGAAAACTGCCAGTGCCTTAAATCCATTTTTTGCTTTATTTTCTGATTGCATGTTTRTCTCATCAACACAAGTTTCAGTTTTATCTAAATTGAAGTTTATCTCTCTTTTTGTCATCCATACCCTGACACATGGAGAAGCTTCACATTCCTCTGTAACATGCTGAGAACTGTTTTGGGGAGAGTAACCTTCTCCTCCTTCTCTATATCATTTCTCCATTTTTTTTCTCTTGATGGTCTTAATCAGGACATTGATAAATAAGTAGCTGTCCGTAGAGTAACTGCTGAGTAATTTAATAGTCTGCAGAATGGTGGGATTTTAGGTTGGGAGATGGGAAGGCCTCTTTCCTCATCTTTGCCCCTTTCCCTCCTTTTGAAGATCCGATGAGGAGAGTCTGGCTTCCTGTTCTCTTGGTAAGCAGGAGATGCTSTGCTGTGGGCTTTGCAGGACCGTGAGGCTCCTCATTTGGGCCAGCCAGGGCAGGTTCCTAGGCCTTACTGCCTAGGTAAGGTTGGTTGCAGTAGGTAGCAGCCACCTTGTTCTTGTCAGGAATTGGTGTGGTGGTCAAAAATGTCTCTGCATCTTTTGAAAATATAGTCCTCCAGAATAAGTGCTCTTTTAAGTAAGTAACTGCTCCATTTTTATGGTAGAATTAGATGTTAATAAGTGTAAGAGAGTATTGGTTTAAAGTAGTGCAACCTGGAGTATAGTCATGATCTAGACAGGCATATGCATGGATTCACCAAGGGGAAGTCATGTCTGACGAACCTCATAGCCTTCTATGCTGGGGTGACAGGCTGGCTGGACGAGGGGAGAGCCGTGGATGTTGTCTACCTTGACTTCAGCAAGGCTTTTGACACTGTCTCCCATAACATCCTC